GTGATGGCTGCACAACAACGTGAATGTGCTTAATGCTCCTGAACTGTACACTTAAAAATAATTAAGATGATAAAGTTTATGTTATGTATATTTTACCACAATAAAAAAATAATAAAAGAAAGTCTGTGTGGTTCCACTCAATGGCATTGCCTGGGGATGGACACATTGGAAAAACTTGATAAACCTTTTCACTCATTACCTCCCTAAAGAAGAAAGAAATTACATAAGTGCAGGTACCAGATGGTGTGTACCACTTGATATTTACAAAGCGCTTAACAAGTCGCATCCTTACAGTGACCCCACAAAGTCTACGAGAAATTACTATCACTCCCATTTTACAGATCAGGATACTGAGCTCAGTCGCACAGGTACCAAGGGGCAGAAAATAAAACATGTTCCTGACCTCAGTGAAGTCCTTCTTGATGCATTGCGTTGGGCTGACACATGCTGTTCCCAGGGAGCCTGCTTCACTCCCGAGCATGCAAATGTGCTCGCTCTACCATTTAGCCAAACAATGTGCATCTATCTACCTTCTTTAAGCTTTCCAGAGACAAAGCTCTCTGGTCTTCTTAGGGGATATAAGATTAGCATAGATTGCTCTTGTTCCCACAATAAATAGAAATCACTTGAAGACACTTCCCCTGCTGCAGGAAAGCTAATTAAATATAGCAGAAACAAAACTCATGAATGAACAGTTTGGGCACTTTAATGTAACTACACAGCACAGTGGGGAGGGGGGGGGGNGACATCACACCAAGGGTTGTGATCCCCTTACCGGTCACGAAAAAGACAAAAAAAAAAAAAAGGAAAGAAAGAAACAGACTAATAGACCCATGTTCATAGCAGCATTATCCACAACAGCCAAAAAGTGGAAACAATCCAAGTGTCCATCGATGAATGAATAAACCAAATGTGGTGTATATAGTTGATGGAACATTACTCAGCCTTAAAAAGGAAGGAAACTGACACATGCTACAACATGGATGAGCCAGGTGAAATAAGCCAGACACAAAAAGACAAATACTGCATGATTCCAGTTATTTGAGGTCCTTAGAGTCATTTAACTAGAGACAGAAATTTGAACGGTGGTTGCCAAGGACTACGGGAGCGGGGAATGGGGAGTTATTGTTTAATGGGCACAGAGTTTCCATTTGGGATGATGAAAAAGTGGTGGAGATGGACGATGGTGATGGCTGCACAACAACGTGAATGTGCTTAATGCTCCTGAACTGTACACTTAAAAATAA